CGCAGAACTCTATGAGTAACAACTGTGTAAAGATATGTTCAAATATGATTACCTTCTGAACAATTGAACTGTACTGTTTTCTGAAATGATACTGTTGTTGAATGAATGATGCCCCTATTCTGAACTGTATTGTGGCATATTCGTCCCAGATAAAGTTTACATTCCAGTAAAATGAATGCACTACTGCTAGTGCTACATTCTGTAGACTTTTTAAAAAAATTTATGTGCTTCTTTTTATTGATTTACAATATATCACAAAATTAGGTTGCATAATAAATGGACCAATGACTTGAATATATATATATATATATATCATGAAATTTGGTACTTAATCTTGCACCAAAGTGGAGTACCGGTAGCACTGCATTTGATCTTGATAGGGCTCACACTCAAGGAGAATGAATGCACTATTGTTAGAACTACACTCACCGCACTTTTATCAAAAGGTTTAGGACAAATTTTACTTTACTTCTTATGATTTGGACCATATGCAATTTACTCTTAATGTTTAGAAATTAACTATATAACTCCTATATGATTTGTTAACTAAAGTCTACCGTTTATTTTTCATCCAAATTAACTGACTATCGGTTTACACGTCCATGAAGAGAATAAGTTTTATTTAAAACTAAAATATCCTTACACATCTTTAAATTTACAAAAACATGTCATTCTTCCCTAAACCTATATATATATACACATACATACACATAATTTTTTTTTTTCATTTGTTCTCTAATGGCTACCACTGTATGTATCAATGAAGTTTGTTGGGTCAAAACAGTGGCAAGCAATCAACAAAAACTTTCTAGTTCGGGAAAAAAAAAAATCTTGACTGTTTATGGCGGTGGTTTGATTTCTTTATTCAATTTTTGTTTATGGTTGGTGGATTTGATTACCTTGATTGTGTTATGAACTTTGATTGACTTATGGTGGGCTTTTCACTCAATTTTTATTGAATTTCTGGTTGGTGGGTTTAATTACCTTGATTATGTTATGAATTTTGGTTGAATACAGTGGGTTTTTCACCGGTCTCGTTTTCCAATGACTCTTGAAAACTGGTGAGCTTCGTATTCTCAAATTGACTTCGAAGCTGTGTGTGCAAAAACAATTTTTAAAAATTTGAAAACAACTTTCATGTTTGCTAAAAAGCTTGTATTTTTCAGAAAATTTCCAAAACAGTTCATAGAACAAGTATTATCCGAAAATGAAAACCCAACAAAATAATCCCAAAACATCAAAACCCACCAAAGGAAAAAAAGTGCAAGAACCAAACTATCAGAATCATAACTTGAAACACTTTGAGAACCAAATCCAGGAATACAAACATTCACAAATCTGAATAAAAACCCAGATCAGAAATAGAAAAAAAGAGAAAAGATAGTGAATCTACAACTCCATGGACAACTCCAGCCTTTTTGGTCGAATACGGTGGGTAATCCATGAGCAATTGACTTCCCATGGAAATTGTGCAAGTGTATTGGTGAGCAAGAGGAAGAAGACGAGAGTATAAAGGTTAATTTACATGTTTTGTTAATAGAAGTTAGTGTGCATTTTAGTTCACAAATCACGTGCAGGGTTATGTGATTATTTTTAAATAATAGGGAATAAACCGTGTATGACCCAAACCATAAGGGGTGAAGTGAAATTTGCTCAAAAATTTATATAATTTACAATGTCCACCAAACTTAGACTGCATAATATATGGTCTAGTGACCTTAATGTTTGTGGAAATTCAAGGAATTATACGGGCTAGGAGGACGGACATTTCTGGTACTTAATCTAGCACCGGTGGGTTGTTACCCGTCGTTTTTGGCGGAGCTACCACACAACTGCTCCGACCTTGACGCATTCGGATGCGTAATTTCCTATAATAATGCAGTGGTGGACTACAACAACATGTTGAAGGAAGCTCTGAATCAAACCAGACAGGCAATCCCAGATGCTTCTCTGATATATGTGGATACTCATGCTGTTCTGCTGGAGCTCTTCCAGCACCCCACATCTCATGGTATGGTTCGATTCAAACCAATGCCTCAAAAAAGTCACATAACTCATATCATACCATGTGTATCTTCAATTTATGGGATTGACAACTAATGTATACATGTACTAGTAAAATTCTGTCCTTGAATCACTTCATTATTTGGAAACAACATTAATCGTTAGATTTTCAACTATATTATATAGGACATTTTCATAATTGTTAAATTTATTCAATTTAAATTCTTAATTATGGCATATAAGACATTTTTTAAAAACTGGTCTGTTTTATTATATAAATAATAATAATTAGAATTGCTTACAAAGTTGGTACTACTTATACTTTTATAAAAGTTGCAAACGTGAGATTTTAAATTTGTGGATTGTTTATGAAAGAAAAAGATAAAATAATAAGTAAGATTAGTCTAGTTGGCTAGAACTTTTGTACTAAATTACAAGGTTAAGAATTTGATTCCCTGTTCCTTATACTACAGGCTTGAAAAAAAGAAAAGAAAAAGAAAAAACAAGAGATATAAATAAAAAATTTTCCCACCTTTCCTTTCTTTTTTATTTTCTCTCCACAAATTCTTCATGAATACACTAGGGAAAAGTGAGGAAGTTGAAACCAAAGTCTTCTACCCTGAAACCCTACTATTCATCCAAAAGGGGTTCTTTTCTTGAATCCATATAGAGATAAGAGATATTATTTCCCTGTAATTTTACAATAATGTTAGAAGTATTAACTAATGTACTTGCAAACATGCCAACTATATCATATTGCAATTTATGTTTTTGTTGCCACTATTTATTTTTCATTATTTTGACACACAAATAGAACAAGTTCAAGGTTGTCACACTCACATGTTTGATGATGAAACAGGATTGAAGTATGGTCCAAGAGCATGTTGTGGATATGGGGATGGAGATTACAATTTTGACCCTAAGGTGTACTGTGGAAACACTAAGGTGATCAATGGGAGTACTCTCACAGCAACAGCTTGTAGTGATCCGTACAACTATGTGAGTTGGGATGGAATACATGCCACTGAGGTTGCAAACAAGCTTGTCACATATGCTATTCTCAATGGCTCTTACTTTGATCCTCCATTTCCTCTTCATCAGCTTTGTGATCTCAAACCTATAGACTAATGTGTTTATCTTTCTGAACTTAGGATTGTAATAAATAATACAACAATGGGTTAATTTCACTTTACCCCCTTCAATTTTAAAACGTACATTTAGACCTTTTTCTTCTCTCCACGAATGAAATGAGAGAGAAAGTCAGAGGAAAAAACTCATTTTCTCTTTGCGAGATCCGAGAGTGGAGAATATATACTATTCTTTGGGTTCGTAGGATCAAATGTAAAGAGTTTTAAACTTGTCTTCATAGAATTTTAAGCAGCAAGAGACTTCAGGGCTTGTTGGAGCTGCTGAATATAACGAATCGAAGCCGAATATGGATCAAGGTAGCTTGTCTACCAAGTCAATAGGCAAAGGGCATTGCTACACATTCACCCTCTCCAGAAAAGGGTTTCTTCGTATGGGTTTTTGATAGTTGAGGATTTAAATGTATGGTTTTAAAGTTAAAGTGGTGAGTAAGGATTTAAATGTACGGTTTTAAAAATAATCAATCTCCTGTGAGTGTTGTAATATGTTTATTTAGTTATGAAACAAGTTTATTACTTGAGTTCAACACATTCTTATTCCTTACATGGGTAGTATGTACATGGAAATCATTTGACAATGTTGTGAGTAGGTGCGCATGGTGCAATTCGAGCAGTTTAAAAGTGAAATTATAAATCACATTGTGAATAATAGATTGGCGAATAACCAAATTGTGATTTGGGTGGTTTTAGTTTGCTAGTTGATTGAAAAATATTTTTAAATAATTATCAAATATTTGCATAATATATAATAGTAATTTGTATAATATTTTTCATATAATACAAACTAATTTTACATAATATTTTTTTTTATATGTAACTACTAATTTGTAATAAATTTCACATTTAAAATCTCCCTTACACTCATTTTTACTTTAATATTTCATTAGAGATTCTAAAAATTTATATGTATTAATTATAGCAGAACGGAGCAGTTTCGAAAGCAAATTATAAAGTTCAAAATTTAATTTGTGATTAGTGGATTGAGCGGTACGGATCATTGCAGATTGGACGATTTTAGTGGATTGTTTAGTATTTTACACAATTCTAGTTGTGAGTTTTAAGCTATGCCAAAATTATGCTAATTTAATTTGACATTTTAAATTGTGTTTGAATCTTGGATTAGGAGAATGAAAAGAAAAGAGAAAGAAAAAAGAAGTTAAACTTTTTCTCCTTTTTTTTTCTTAATTTCGGCCTCGTTTGGGAACCCTCCCTTTTAGTTAAAAAGTCAAAAAGTTACTAAATTAGCCGAAAAGTCAACAACTCATACCAAAAAGTCAAAGATTCTCTTTTCTCTCTACTTTTTACACATCTTTTCGTAAAAAGTCAAAAAGTCATTCCAAACATACTGATTTTTTTTTAACTTATATTTTAGTCAAATAGTCAAAAAATTACTAAATTAACCTGTTACCAAACGAGACCGTTCTAGTGTATAATAATTTGAAGAACGTTTAATCTGTAATGCAAACTTCAAACCCAGTTCAATCAGGTCTATGCTCACTGTAGTGGGACAAGGGTATTACTGTGCCTTAAGGCACAACAATTGTTGTGTCCCTTGTGAAAGATTGTTCCAAGTGTTTTTCGATGATCTTAATTGATCATATTGCAGAATTCGTCGGGTAGATCGTCCATACAAAAAATCAAGCTGATTGGATATCTGTAACCCTATAACCAAAGCACATTTATTTTTATAAAAATTAACAGGTAACATAACTTTCATAAATTTTTCAAAACAATGAGGACCTAATCATGGGGTTCTGAATATTTGATTAACTTAATTTTTTTAATAAATAATTTATACAATAAATCTTACGATACAAACATTTAAAATTATTAAAATAAACCGAGGATAATAAGCCCACATGAAAGCTCACAGCAGCATATCCAGAGTCAGTTGAGTGTATGAAGTGAGAGCCTGTATTTTTAAGATAGGAAATGAACCAATGAGGAAGCTCAGTTCCTCCACGCGTGACCTAGCAGAATCAGTGGCTAAAATGTATTATGGGCAGAAAGGATGTTAAAAAGAAATAGTAATTCATATTAACAGAAATTTAATGCAAGATAAGACTTTCATTTGAAATTTACCATTTCTCCAACAAAAAAACAAAACAAAACAAAACTGAGTTCAGATCAAATAACATAGTCATTCTAAATGAGATTATTATATGAAAATTACCACTTTTCACAACCAAAAAAAATAAAAAACTTAAAAAAATTACATTGTAATTACCTTCTTTTTCAAAATAAAAAAATGAAAAATGAAAAATTACATGAAATAAATTTATATTTAATATAATGTCATCCACAAGCAAAATAAATATAATTAATTTATATATTTTATTTTTAAGAATATGTATTTTTGATTGCATAATATTACTAAAAAAAACTCCCAACTCATATCAAAATAATAGAGAGCACAACATAACAGAGAGAGTAGATAGAGAAAGAGAGGTAGATATACAAGCAGAGAGACACAGACAAAAGCCTTGGAAGCCTTGGGAATTGCTTTGGGCAGCCAATTTACATGGCATCCACTTCCACGGCGGCCACCGCCACCTTAATGCCCTGTCGGCTACCCTCCACCACCACTGCCAACTACCCACCTCGCTGCTCATCACTGCCTTCTCTTCCACCCCTCCTCTTGTCCACCCCAGCCTTTTCCACTTCCTTGAAACAGCTCTCTCAGGTATGCTTCCTCTCTGTGAGGCATTTCGTCGAACACACACATAGTTGAAGTTCCTCTTAGCATGGTTTACTGCTCTTCTCTTCATTTCAGTTTCACATTTTCAACTTTCTTTTACTTGGGTTTTATGTAGTTTCTAAATTGCATTTGGAAAAATGCAAACTTGCATAAGAAAAACGAACTTATGTTGTGCGTGGTTATTTTGGGAAATTGATAAAGCAGAACCCGGGAGGTTTTCTATTCTTCAAGTCAAGGCCACTTCCTCAGAAGAGTCATCTCCTCCTGTTGATGCCGGAAAATTATTCAGTGATCTAAAGGAAAAGGTGAGGAGCAAACCGGGCACCATACCAAAGAAGAGGAAGCTTGAAACTATTTCTCAGTTTGTCTTTCCATTGCTTTCTGTTACAACTTCTTTTGATTTGAGTCTATACTGATGGTTCACATGAAATCTTTTTTTTTTCTTTTTTTCTTTTTTCCATTTATTTTTTTGATTCTTTTGCTGCTATGTTCAATACCGGGATGCAGTGGAAGACAAATCTACAGTAATTCTGTGTGGAGGAGGCTGAATATAGTTTGCTATGTTGTAAAATCTTATCTTTTCGGCGTAGCTCATAATCTAATTAATGGAATTAAACCCTCGAACTAATTTGAATCAATGCATCCACAAATCTCCTTTACCAGATTTGACGCCTAATTTCGTATTGTTGTGTTTTATTTATCCACAAAAAAAAAAAAAAATGAATACGTGAAAAGTGAATTTGACAAAAATAATTTCTTTCACAGGATAGTAGAAAAGAAATAGCCACAGACATTGAAGCATTGAAGAAGTTCCCCGGAACCGAATAGATATACACATGATTGGAATTTGGTTGGTGGTTGGTTCAAAAATAGTTTCACGTCTCCATTTATTAGAGGCATATATATATATATATATATATATATATTTTTGATAACTCAGGATGTCCGGACCAGTTTGCGCGTACCTCGACCAATTCCACCGTTCATCTCGACCAAAGCCAGAGCAAAGCTCTGTATAGACTGGCCCAACATAAGGATTGATAGCACCTAAGAGGCATATATGTCAACCAAATAACATCAATCACTGACATAAATACATGAATATGCATTTGTCTATGTATGTGTGTGTGTATATATATATATATAAAGAGAGAGAGAGAGAGAGAGAGAGAGAAGAAAAAGTCAAGAAACGAGAAATAAACAAGAAATGAAAATTAAAAACAGAGCAAAGAGACATGATTGATACCTAGAGGAGAAGAAGAAGAAGAAGAGTGAGAGATGTAGCTAATCGGAGATTTCACCGAACCACTGAAGCATAACTTCGCAGAGAGAAACAAGGAAAGGTTGCTCTCTAGAAAAGACTACATGGAGCTAGGATTTGGCCGATCTAAGGACTGTAGTGACGTTCGATCCTTCCACCATACGTTTCCAACAAGAAGATCAGAGATTGGAGACAAGTATGGGCATAGCGGTGGTGGTGGTGGGCATGGGAACAATTTGGAAAATCAAGACTGTTATTTAGAGAGAGAACATTTTAGAGAGAGAAAGAGATGTAGATAGGAGAAGAGAAAGAGAGTTTAGAGAGAGAGAGAGAGAAAGAGGGAGAAGGTTTGATTTGAGAAATTTCTCTAATATATGAGTGTGAGGGATGGAGGACCTTGACATTATAAAATAGTATTATGAATCTCTCCCATTATTAAATATGGGAGAGGGACCTTAGACTAATTTTCCCTAAAAGGTAATGAAAAAAATAATTTATAAAAATAATTAGAATCTCAACAGGTTAATAAGTCAACTTGGACTGAAAACATCTCTAATGGCAAATGCTATAATAGCATTGCCATTGTTATAATGAATAATAGAAAATTATAAAATTATAACAATGGTGCTCTAATGATCATATGTTATTTTGGCAGAACCAATGACAGAAATTGGTGTGTTCGGATGATTGCCTAGTCGATTGAGCAGTTATTCAGACGGTCGTCTCGAATGTACCAATTTCTGTATTTGGTTTCGCAAAAATAACGATTTTGTAAAAATTTATTTGTTTTGCTAGGAGAGGAGAGAAAGGAGGTTTTGCTTGAATTGACACATATGACAGCTATCATAACTAACCATTGGAGCATACTTTTGATCTCCAACTACCAAACTATAGCAATAGCAGCTCTAATGGTCTACAATTAGAGATGCTCTAAGGTGATTAAAATTTGAGATAATTACAAATCAGTGTTCTTTTAAAAAAATATTTACAAATACATAGAAAAAATTAAAATTAAAATTATTAATATTTATAACATTTATCATTGAGATGCAATTTTTTTTTCCCTCTGAATTTGCACTCGTTATAGTTGCGGTTTGACAATTGATATTTTTAGTTAGTTTTTTTGATTTTTTTGACTTTTTTAAACTTTTATGAGAGAAAAAAGTAAAATTATTCAATGTGTTTGGTTTGAGTTTTCTAGATTAAGTTTTTTAAAAATTAATTTTTTTGATTTTTGTGTTTTTTTGTTTTTAGTGAATATTTTTTAAATTTTAAACATTTTTTTTTACTTTTTTAGATGCACCTTACTTAGATGTATCTAAAAAGTAAAAAAATTTGTGAAAAAATATTATTTAAAAAAATTAATAAATACATAAAAATACAAAAATATACTGAATTCTTGTATTTTTTTTTTGTATTTTTAGTATTTAGTGAATTTTTAAAAGATTTTTTTACAATTTTTTTTACTTTTTAGGGTATTTATGTTAGGTGTGTCTAAAAAGTAAAAAAATTGCTTTTAAATATTAAAAAAATTCAGTAAAAACAAAAAACACAAAAAATAAGAAAGTAAATTTTCTGAAAAGTATTTAGAAAACTGGACCAAGCAATCCTATTATGATTTGAACGTAATATTTTATTTTATTAACTTATTTTATCTATTTTTTATCTTTTGTATTTTTTTTAACCAAAAAGTAATTTCCAACGAAGCCATATCTGTTCAATTTTCAGCATAACAAAATATGATCATCTTCGTGGTACTCAAAATCAGACGGTCAACCAGTAGCCATGTCACTTGGAATGTGTATATCTAATTAAAAAAATTGAAAGCTATAAATTAAGAGATTTAATAAGGCACCTCCAACGGTGTACCAAATGTTTCACCAAATCTGAGTAAAAAATGGGTCATTTCCTTAATTTGATACTTCGCGCTCCAACGGTTCAACATCAAATCCGTTTCATCAAATTTGCGTTGGGCAACCGGTTGGTTGACCGGCCGGTCGACCGGTAACGGCAAAATTTTTTTTTTTTTTTATACCGGTTTCAACCTTTTTTTTTTGAACTTTTTGAACTTTTGGTGGTCGACCACTTAGGCAAAATTTTTTATTTTTTTATTTTTTTGACTGGTTTGAACCTTTTTGTGAACGGTCTGAACTTTCTCCGGGACGACCGGTTGGTTAACCGGTTGGTCAACCGGATGGTCGACCCGTTTGTCTTATCCCAACGGTCCGGAATAGTGATTTGGTGAAATGCTTCGCCTGCACTCAGTTTGGTACCATTTTTGCTGAATTCTAGATTTGATATCGATTTGGTGAAACCGTTGGAGCTTAAAAAAGTGACTTTTTCACCAAATTTTAGATTTGATGCCAGGTTTGGTTCACCGTTGGAGATGGTCTAATTTTAATTGGTGTTTGAATTTCATATAATATGATATTTTGATCTTAATTTTTTTTTTTTTAAATTTTCACATCATTAATGTCTTTTCAGAATTTCAAAATTAGATGGAGGTATGATTTGTGCATCTTATTTGAGGCCGTAAAAGAAGTGGTCCCCACCACTGTTTTGGTGATCTGGTGGTCCAAACACTGACGTGTCTCGCGTGAATCAGTTAAAAAATCAGTGGATCCCACTCGGTGCCGGCATTTAGATTGCGTAGCCAGCTCACGGAATCACGCCTTCTACCTACAGATTTTAAATGGCCCACGTGTCAGCACAAAAGTTCCACATGCTACCCCATTAATGAAAAAATTATCCCAAAGGATTTAACTTTTTTTTTTATAATACAATTATTATATTTTAAAAATATTATTTTTTTAAAATTTCTCTTTGATTGTATATTTTTTTAAAATATCAATTATTATAATTTTAATTTTTGTTAGTAAATTCATATTATTTTATTCTTTAATTTTTGAAAACAGATTAATATTTTAAAATAATAAAAAATAGAATAAGAGTTAATATTTTGAGACAAAATGAGCAATTGGTCTAGGATACATGAAACCAATTATAAACTTTCATGTACATTCATGTTTTTTAATCATTTAATACAAAATTATAAATCTCACCATCTTCAACAATTAGGATACATCTAAGACATCACGTGACTATATCCAGAACCAACGCATAACTTTTCCTATTATTGGTTTTTTTCCCAATATTAGACTATAGGAGGATTAATAATAATAATAATAATACAATATATATATTCTCTGAAAAAATTAATAATAAAAAAATGCTATTGGTCAAATGTTTTTTAGTTAATTTTATTTTTTATCTCTTAAATTATGACTTTTTTTTGTTATAAATGTATATATATATATATTTCATTTTAAAATGATTAAAAGGTAGATAAATTGTTGCCAAATGTTGCAAAATTTATTTGTGATTTGTGTCCATCAATTAGGGGCGGATCAGCATTTACTGATTCACCAAAATTGAATGGTCCGAACTAATTTGCTACATAATAGATAGTTTTAGTGGATGTATTTTTTTTAATCTACCTAAATTTTGATGAACGGCGGATAGGGAACGACCTGATCCAACCGGATTCATCAAGAATCCTAAGAAGTAAGTTTATATATATATATATATATATATACTTTTGTGTGTTAAAGAAGGGACATTTTATATAGTAATTCTATTTGTTATTTATGAAATTTGAAAGTTAGGCCTTTATTTTTATTTTAAAAAATTAACAATAAAATATTTTGAGTTCAAAATAGTAAAGAAGTATTGAAAAATAGTTTTTTAAAAAATAATTTGCATCCATCTGCCAACCTTTGCACGACTCACTCAATATACATCCGCTAATTAAGCGAACAGATGTATATTAATTTTTCTCAATCCACCTAAGTTTGAACAGATGTGGATAAGAGGCCACCCAATTCACTAGCACCCCTACTTTTAACAAAGATGAACAAATGTTCTGAATTAGATTTTATTTACAAATTTAGAGTTTAAATTACCAAAAAGTCAATCTTTCTCTCTATTTTTGTGCACGTCTTCTGTAAAAAAAAAATTAAAAAGCTAATTAAAAAAATTAGTTCCCAATTTGTTATAAAACACTGGTTTTGTTTGGTTGATTTTGGGTAGTTTTTTTTTTCCTTGTGAAATCAGAAACTAGTTTAATATAAATAAACACACAAAAAAAATGAAATTCATATGAAAATATAAAAAATAATGAGTGCTTTTAAATTTTTCCATCAAACTACTATTTAAAAAAATTTAGAAAATAAATTCTCAAAATTTCACCAAAGGAAACCTTGTAACGATTCTAGTTTTGCCACTTCGCTGAGTATGTCGGGGATCGAGTTGTCCGGTCAGCTCGCGGGGGTCCAAGGGCAGCGCCCTGGTGGGGATCGAGCTGCCCAGTCAGCTCGCAGGGGTCTAGGGGCCCCTTGGCGGGTCCTAGGGCAGCGCCTTGGCGGAGTTGAGGGGCAACGCCCCTGAAGCAAAAATGTAAAATGAATTAGAAGTTGTTTGTCCGCTCGAGCGGCAGTTTATGCGCTCGAGCGGAGAATGTTTGGTTCCAGAAGTTTGACACGCTCGAGCGGACCATGTATTATATCAGTTGATAGTTGGGCTTCCTAGAACACAATGAGGCAATGATGCCGTTTGGGTGATTGTTGATAGGTTGACTAAGTCTACCCATTTAATTCCAATGTGCACCAGCGACTCAGTTGAAAGCTTGGCAAAGTTGTACATTAGAGAGACAGTTCGACTTCATGGACTCCTTGTGACTATTGTGTCGGATTGGGATCCTCGTTTTACTGCCCGGTTATGGCAAAGCCTTCCAGAGGCGTTGGGAACTAAGTTGACTCTTAGCACCGTTTATCATCCTTAAACTGATGGACAGTCGGAACGTATCATTCAGATTTTGGAGGACATGCTTAGAGCTTGTGTCCTTGATTTTAAGGGTCCTTCGGAAAGGTACTTACCATTGATTGAGTTTGCTTACAATAATAGTTACTAAGCTAGTATTGGGATGGCACCATTTGAGGCATTGTATGGCCGACCTTGTAGATCACCGGTTTGTTAGGTCGAAGTGGGTGATGCACTGTTACTGGGTCCAAAAATTGTTAGAGAGACAACCGAGAAAGTTGTTCTCATTCAGAAGAGGTTAGCTACGGCCCAAAGCTGACAAAAGAGTTATGCCGATAAGAGGAGATGGCCTTTATCTTTTGAAGTTGGTGACCATGTGTTTCTAAAAATCTCACCAAGGCGGGGTTTGATGAGATTTGGTAAAAGTGGTAAATTATCTCCAAGGTTCATTAGGCCTTTTGAGATCTTAGAGCGAATTGGGGAAGTGACATACCGGTTAGCTTTATCGCCACAACTTTTGGGAGTTCACAACGTATTTCATGTAACTATGCTTAGTAAGTATGAACCCGACCTTTCTCATGTGC